TTCAGAACATTGTCGGATAGAGTGCCAGAAGACCAACCCCTCAGGTGTAGCAGTGACTGTGAGGAATGTCCAGGGCCAGGCAATGCATAGGGTCACTATGAGTGGGTGCCAACTCAATGGCACCTGACAACAACAACATGATCATTGATTGTGGATCCTGGCAAAATAGTCTCTGACAACTTCAGTATTTTCTCCATTTATTATGATGCTATTTATTGGTTCTGTCGTGAAAATTTTTGTTTTCTTTACATTGAAATGCAATTCATACTGATCATCATCTTTGATCATCATCAGTATTTCAAGTCCTCTTTGTTTTCAGCAAGCAAGGAAGTATCAGCTGCACATTGCAAGTTGTTGATGATCTTCCTCCAGTCCTGATGCCATGCTCTTCTTCATATCCTTCAGTTTCTTAGATTGTTTGTTCATAATAAAGATGGAATTAGTACGGTGAAAGGACACAACCCTAGTGCATATCTATCCTGATTTCACACTATTCAATATCCCCTTGTTCTGTTTGAATTACTGCCTCTTGGTCTATGTACACGTTCCTCATGAGCACAATGAAGTGTTCTAAACTACCCAATCTTCACAATGTTATCCATAATTTGTTATGATCCACACAGTGGAATGCTGTTGCATCCCTCCTCTGTGTAGACAAGAAAGTACAAGTACACATCTTTCTGGTATTCTCTGCTTTCAGCCAAGATCCATCGGACGTTAGCAATGACATCCATTGTTCCAAGTCCTCTTCTGAATCCAGTTTGAATTTCTGGCAGCTCCCTGTTGATGTACTGCTGTAACCATATCTGAATTCTCTTTACCAAATTTTGCTTGCATGTGATACCAACATTGGGATACCTTTCTTTGGAATTGGCACAGATATGCAGAAACATACAATTTAACAAATTGAAGTCAAGATGAAATACACGAACTGAATATACATATATCTCTGGTAGCGTAGTGGTTATGAATCTGGCTGCGAACCTTAAGGTCAACAGTTTGAAACTACCAGCTGTTCTGCAGGAGAAAGATGAGGCCTTCTGCTCCTGTAAAGATTTACAGCCTCGGAAACCCTCTACAGGGTCGCTATGAGTCGGAACTGACTCCACGGCACACAACAACAACAACAACATTAAAGAACTGGTGGTGGTTATGTGCCATGGAGTTGGTTCTGCCTTCTAGCGACCAACTGTATGTGGTTTCCAAGGCTGTGTGTTAATGCGCCAGACTGTAAAGCCATTTGAACTCAAGATCGGCAGTTCAAGTTCATCAGCTGCTCCTTGGAAACCCTAGACAGGTTCGCTATGGGTTGGAACCGACTCAACAGCACTAACACAACAATAACGCATCTTTACGGGAGAGAAATCCTCATCTTTCTCCCGCAGAATGGCTGGTAGCTTCCAACTGTTGACCTTGAGGTTAGCAGCCCAACTTGTAACCACTAAAAGAATCTGCCTACAAACTATACAACCATACCTAGTTTGTAGTAAAGTTCCAGTAACCCTTTAAGGAATGAGGACCTTATCGAAACTGCTCAAGAGTTTGGCCAGGAGTGCTGACTTGAAGTGTGAACTGGACATGCTGAACATTTTCATTTGCACTGGCACAGCTACAGGTGAATGGACAGGTCAGTGAACAAAAAGGCCAAGAACCTGCCCTCAGGGAGCCTACAGGCTATGGGACAGGACAGAGAAAACCACAGATCACACACAAACCAGGCACTACATAGGTTAGAAGGCAGCAATGCAAAAGGAGAGGGAAGTAGGTCAGATAATGGGTAAGTGGTCTGAGAGTGGAGGGGAAGTGACCGAATGACAAGAGGGGGAACAGAAAGGGACCTGCATTCCTGTACTCTTAGAGACCAGGGCGGGGCAGCAGAGATGCTGGCTGGGGGTGGGGTTGGATAGGGACGAATTGTTTTCAGGGAAGTGACTGCTCAGAGGTCAGGCCACTGTGGGTTGAGTGTGAGAGGTAGGTGGGGCTGGGGTCGGGAGGAAGGATGGAATGAGGCCTGGAGGGGCCCAGGAGGGCTGAGACGTGAGCTGTGGGTGCTAGGAAGGACACCATGAGTGGGGAGTGTGCTTCCATTGGGATTAAATTCTAGACAAAAGGAGAGCAAGAACCTCAGGCAGTGTGTGGGGGAAGAGGGCAAGGGGCCCAGGGCTCTGCCTCCCACCAGGCACTGTTCTGGGTGCCTGTCCCTATTAGCCTGCAGGTCTCATGAGGCCTGTTTGTGTGAGTCTGTGTGCCTGTGAGGGTGTGAGAGAGAAGGAGCTGGGCGGCCAGAATCACAGTTCTTTCCGGAATCTTGGCCCTGATGGGAAGGATGGGGAACACAGAGAGGTCTCAACTTCAGGACAGAAGTACGGGAAAAGCCAGCAAAGGGTGACTTACCCAGAAGGAGGGTCAAGGACCCCTGCACCCCCTCCCTCCATCCCTGGGGGAGCCAGGCCCAGTGCTGCTCAGGGGGTGCCAGGATGGTTAGTGGGAAATCTGGGGGCCCCCCATTCTCCAGGAAAGAAGAAACATAGACACTTATGTCCCTGCTCTCTCCTTGGACTCTTGCTGTGACGTCATTTGCTAGGGTGGGGCCTGGGCCGCACCGGGCCTGGAGACCACTGGTCCACAAAAGATATGGGTTTCCCCAGAAAAGTTTGCAACCAGGACAGGGTGGGGTCCCTGGGTTCACCCAGGCGGCAGGGAGTCAGGGGTGGAGGGCTGAAGCTGCCCCTGTGGGTGGGGCTGAGCTGGTGTGTACCCAGAACCAGTGAGGCGGGGTGTGTGTGTGGCCACGCCCCCCACTTCCAGCCCCATCAGGAATCAAGGACTCCAGGGGCCACAGTTGGGGGTGGGAGTAGCAGGTGGGGCAGGAGTGAGTGAGGCAGGGCTGTGGGTGGGGAAAGGTCAGGGCACAGGTGACAGGGGAGAGAGAGGCAGGAAGACAGTGGAGACAAGAGAGAGGTCAGGAAGCGCTCATTTCCTCCACGCAGGGCTGAACCACAGGAAATTCAATCCTGATGCTTCCTAAGCTGTTTCCTGCAGATAAGGGGTCTTAGTCAACCCCATCCTGCGCCCTCCCTCCCCCCACCCTTCCCATCCTGCCCTGGCCCCAAGAGACCCCCATTCCGCGGGCCAGTAGTCACTGGCCTTGGGAGGAGCCTGGGAGGGGGCCGGGAGGTCTGGGCGCCCTCGAGGCCCACTTCCTGGTCAGGAAGGTTCTACTCAGGCTTGGGGAGAAAGCAGGACAAACGCCCAGACCCTGGACCCCAGACCACGAGGAGCCGGGCTCTGAGGGGTCAGTGGAACCCTGGGAAAGCTAGTGTGAAGCTAAATCAGGGATTTCCTGGAGCTAGGACCTGGGAAAGGGGCTTTGCTCTGGGCTGGACCAGAGGCTGCTCTATCGAAGGTGGTCACCTCGCTTCTGCAGGGGTCAGAGGGCGTTTGGTGGGGGAGTAGGGGGCTACTCTTGGAGGCGGAGTCCAGGACTGTTCTGTGTGAGGTTACAGTGTTTCAGGGATAATCGGCTGGCTTCATGGGGTTTCTGTTTATATGGCATGGGATCAAGATTATCTCTGGAAGCTAGAGAGAGTTTTGTGGAGACTCTGCTGTTGGAGAGGGTTATGGATTTGGGGCAGGGTCTTGTTCTATGAGGGGCTCTTTTGTGGGGGTCAGTGATGTTCTTTCAGGGTGGGGGGGGTCAAGGCGAGTTGGAGTTTTGAGGAGGCAGGAGCTCTTTCTCACGCATGAGGTATATCCCAATGGTTATTAGCCACTCCTTGCCCTCGGGGGCTGTCAGGGTTGGGGGGTCCCCAGGCGCTGGGGTGGCTCTGGAGGTTTATCAGGGCTGGAGGTGCCTGGTTGGTTCCAATGGGGCGGCGGTGCCTGAGCTCCTTTCTTTACTGTGCTCCCCCTCCTCCGCCCACTCATCACCCCCTCCCGCGTTGCCACGACAACGCGTAAAACTAAAATTCACTTCCCCATCACAGGTGGGGACTAGTAGCGCCCCCTCCCCTAAGCCCTTCCTCGTAGGTCGCGCCCCCATCCTGCTGTCGCTAAGGTGACGGGGAGGGGGCGACAAACGTTTAATCTGGATGGACTGGGTGGTGTGGGATAGATAAGGAGGGGTTGGCTGGGCCTGGGAGTCCGGAGTGAACTCCCCGAACTCTGCTGTGGCTGGAGCAGCCGCGCTGAGCTCCTCGTGGTGGAAAGGATCAATTAGGAGGGTCGTTTGGTCCAGTGGGGAAAGCCCCTGCCCCCACCCCCGCTTGGGGATCCCCAAGACAGATTCCCAGGACCCGGGCGGGCTGGTCCTAGCCACCTCCCTGGGTCTGGAGGGGGTGGGGGTCGGTAGAGTGGGGAGAAGCAGCCACCCCCGGACATTAATTCTCCTTTTCTCTCTCCCTTTTCTGGCCCTCAAGCCCCAACGCAGTCCCCACCTACGCTCCAGGACCCCTACCCTGGTCGCACTTTCCGGGTAGTCTGCCGAGGCTCGCTTCTAGTGGCTGGGCGGCACGGCCCTCACCAACTGAGCGCCCCCATACCTAAAACCCC